GTTTTTCAATATTTTTCAAAAGAAAGATTACTGTGAATTCACTCTATCATCCCAATTCATCTCTTCCTCTCCCTGTTTCTCTCCACTCCCCATAAACAAAAGGGAAGCAGAGTTCTGCCCAGCACCATTTGGTGGTCTTAGGAGGTGGCAAGGGCTCCCTGCTACACTCAGTTTTAACAAATATAAACAAGGAACAAGATCATTCTGCAGTTGTGTTTTAAGTCGCAGGTGTGCAACCTGACTTCATGAATTAAACCTCTTATGATAATTAAGTCATAATTTTAAAAATAATATTTACTTAGAAGAAAAAGGGAAAAAGAAAAGCTTCAAAACCAGAGTGTGATGCCCTGTTAAGTATGTCTAATGTGCATTCAAAGTATTGGGAAGCAGGCAATTTTACCAAAGGGCAATGTCACTAGAATCCGTAGACTATAATTATAAAAGAAAGTTCTGAAACATAAAGGTGCTCGTGGAAAAGAGTAAAGAGAGGAAACAAAGGCAAGGACACAATGAGCAGGTGCTTTGAGAGTAAGGCTCTGAGAAATGACTTGGACACTGGCCCCAGGGCTGAGGCGGATGTCTGGCCAACAGTCTGGGGTCCGAGGGAGAAGAATACAATTGGCAGGATTCGAGAAGAGGGCACCGCTGCAGCCTCCAAACAAGTGTCTAGTCCTCACTCCCAAGTAGATGTGCTTTCCAGACTTCAACAAGGTCTCCTCAGGAGGACTTGCTCTCCGCCATGTAGTAACGATACAGAAAACCTAAGAGAATAGCACCTACGATGGGGACGATCCAATACGACCAGTAGCTAGACGTTTGGGGGGGGTAGGGGGGAGAAGCAATAAAATTGTGAACATTTCATATCAAATGTACCCTATCTTTCAACATTCACATTTTAATATTTTAAACATTTTTCACATTTTAATATTTTTATAGCAAAGAATTTTATTTGGGGAAATAAAATCCAAAGATCTGGATTGAAGTTAAACAATAATTTTAAAAGGATTAAAAATGGAATGTATGGTGTAATACCAAAAATATATATACATACACACCTCAGTATATATGTTTTCACAAAGACATAAAGTGGTTATTTCTGGGTTACAGGATTATGGAGAATTTAAATTTTTCTTTATGCTTTTTCACATATTCTACAATTAACATCTTTGAGCATGAAAAAGTCACCATTTTATGTATATAATTATAAATTTAGAACCAATGATACAACTGTTGAATATTACATCTGCCCCACATGTATTTTTAAAATTTAATCCTCACAACAATCCTATGAAACAGGTATTATTATTCTCATTTTATATATGAAATACAAGCTTTGCACCCAAAATCACAAAGGGAAGTTGGTCAAGCAGTCTGATTCCTATCCTGATTCCCATCCTCTTAATCCCTACTTAAGTTCAGACACTAATAAGGACACACACACATGCACACACAAAACATACTGATAATTCTAATAAAGTTAAATAAATGGTAGTTGGCTTAAAAAGTCCTGTAAGAAGCTTTCCTCAGAGTTTCAGGACAGTCATTATTCTCCTTAAAATAATCCTTCCCGGGGATTCCCTTGACGGTCCAGCGGTTAAGACTCTGCGCTTTCACTGCGGTGGCCCAGGTTCAATCCCTGGTTGGAGAACTAAGATCCCGCAAGCCACACAGCTGAAAAGATCCTTCTTCTCTAACAGAGCTTATTAGCTCTGCTAGTTTTAAGGTATAATTCTTCCATGATCCAAATGACCTGGCTGCCCCTCCACTTATGACATATGCAGTCTAGGTATTAAAAGGCTTTGAAGCCCAAAAAGCCAGCTAAGGTTCAATAATAAAAATGATTCTCTTTGCCTAAACATGCCTAGCACTTTGTACATTTAAGTATGGCAGAAAGCTGTTCTGGACACGTTTAGAACGTCAGCCAGGTAGCTTTGTTTAAAGACACAAGCAAGTTGGCCAGTATGTACAACAGCAATATGGCACAGGGAAACTTAAAAAGTAATCTCCCCAAAAAAGTAATGAATTCAGATATCTTCCAGAGCAGCCACAAGGGACAAAAGAGTTCAAAACACGGAAGATAAAGTCTTCAGTGCACAAGACTGAGAATGGTTGACCACCAATCCTCATATAATCCTTTGTAACTTTACGGCCACTGAGAACAGAACCAGAGGAAATGCACCAAAGGAGATACAGATTCAACAACTTCCTGGCCATAATACAGAACTCTCTTCATTCAGATTTATTCAGGTTATTGCACATAGTTGTGACTCAGTTATTTTTATTGCTTTGAAGTATTCCACTATATGAATATCCCAGAATGAATTCATTCATTTTACTAATGAATAGTTATTTGGGTTGTTTCCAATATTTTAATATCTTGAATAATGTTGCTGTGAGCATTCTAGACGTGTTCACTGGTATACTTGTACACACACTTCTCTTGAGTATGTATATATCCCTAGAAATGCAACTGCTGGGTCAGAAGTTATTATATTGTCAAATTTACTTAATAATGCCAAATTGTTTTCCACAGGGACTGTACCCCTTTACATCTCCCTAAGACCCTAAAGAGGGCCTAAGATTATTGGTAATACACTTCCTAAACAACGCCTCTTATTTTTAGAATTTTTAAAAATTTTCACCAATCTGGCAGGTGTGAAATATACCCTATGATTTTAATCTGCATCTCTCTGATGACAAATGAAATTAAACCTTTTTTTTTCCATATGCTTATATTTGTGCTTCCTCTTCTGTAAGGTGTTTGTTTAAGTCCTTTTCTCATATTCTACTAAGTTATTTTTTAATTGATTTGTAAAAATTCTTCATGTATTCTACATAGTAATTTTTAATCAGTTTTAAGTGTAGTGTAAGTCTACTGCAAGTTTATGGCCTGTATTTTCAAATTCTTTATGGAGCTTTTGGATGAGCATAAATCCTTAATATTAAGAAAGCTGAATTTACTAACAGTTTCCTTTAATTTCCACTTTTTAAAAATATTCTGTCCATCACCTCAAACAAAAAAGACATGGTACTTTTATGGGGAAAAAAAGACACATTTTCTCTCTCTCTATGAAATGCTTTAAGTGGGATCTCAGAAAGATAAAACAGCTCTATATAATCTCTATAAATTTTTACAAGCCAAGGATTCTACACTTATCTCAAGTAGAGACACTTAAGGGATGACAAATGTATACCTTTCAGGGCTAATTCTACTGTGTTAGTAACATTACTGCAAGGGATAAGTAAACCTTTGAGGAAGCACACATTCCTGAACATGACTGCAATACACAATATTTTTCTTCTGTAAAATGTAATAATACATTTTTACATTTATTATTACATTTATAATATGTAAGGTAGGTGCAGAGTGGTTGTGAGGATTAAATGAGATTAAGGTGTTTTTTTTTTTTGAGATTAAGTTTTTAGTGGAAGTTGCATAGCTTGGCTGAGCTACAGAGACTGTGGGCCTGAATTAACAGTAGCATTTGTCCATGCATACTTACCTCTTACTACATGTGATTCTAATTTATGTTACAACAAGATTTAAAAATTACTCAAGGCAAGAACTTTTTTGAGATTACTCAGATGACTAAAACTGTAAAAATTAATTTTTCTAAAGCTAAGGAACTACTGAATTTGTAATAATTTTGACCAAAAAAGAATGAGCTGTCAAACTGTACTCTAAGTTATATTACACATGTATATTTATGGAAGAACCTCTTTGCCACACAGTATGTTGAGCATAAGGAAATCTATTAAGGGAATACCAACCTTTTGCATGTATTATTTTTCAGAGGGTCCTGAAGAAGATGCATATTCAAAAACAAACAAACAAACAAGATTAACACAGAGTATATAAATCTTCTCGAATAGTCATGCAAACTCTGAAGCTAATAACAGAACTTCATCTTTCATGCCATTTGATGTTTACAAATCCATATGTGATGGGAGGACTAGGAATTCTTTTTCTGATAATATACAGGTATTCCCTAGTAAAGAACCACTAATGAAAGCATAGAGAAATATGACCTAAACTCTTTTTATTTGTAAAAAACAAACAAACAAAAAGAGCCACTGGTACAAACTATATTGCAATGAACTAATTTGCAGTCACAATGGTAAGCCTGGTTCACTGTGGCTTGCCACTGGCTGTAGCTAAGATGACATCTTGTGAAAACACTGTTAAAAAATAAGAACTCCTGTCTTGTAACATAGAGATCAACTGGGAAATGCTCAAAAGCATGCAGATGACTGCTTTGTGGCTTAGAGAAGTGAACTGGTTTACTCTCTGAAATCGTAATAGTTACGATTAGAGACCTTAGGGCTTATTTCACAATGAAAACACCAAGAATGGAGTTAGGGGAAAGAAAATACCAAAATAAACTTAAAAACAAAAATCTGGCAGTAACAAGGTACTTATACATGCGACAACACTGATGAACCTTAAATGTTACGTGAACTGAAAGAAACTAAAGACCATGTATTATATAAAGTCCATTTACATGAAATGTTCAGAATAGGCAAACCGAGAGGCAGAAGAGTAGATTAGTGGTTTCCTAGGGCTGGGAGAAGAGGAGCTGGAGGGAAATGGAAAATGACTGCTAAAGGTTACGTGGTTTCTTTTTGGAGTGATGAAAATGTTCCAAAATTAATTTGTGATTATGGTTGCACAGCTCTGAATATACTAAAAACCCTTGACTTATACATCTTAAATAGGTGAACTGGATGGCATGTGAATTATACCTTAATAAAGCTGATACTAAATTTTAAAATTCACTTTATGTAAATATCAAATGAAGTTATGGATTTCAGTAATTAGCTATATAGTACAAAAAAGCCTGCTAACTTACTGCCAGAGGACAATAACCCATTAGCATAAGTTACTGCTGCCCAAAAGATCATCTTTGCCAATATGCAATAACATGCCAGGGTATGCACACATAACTACAGATTTCAGTAACCTCCAAGATTCCCAAAAACCCTACATACATACTGGCCTAGATATTTTAGAGCAGACCATGAGATAAATTTTAATTTCATATACCCAAAACATTGTCATGCAAATGAACACATGCCCCAAACCTGAAAGAAATCGCCTATAGGCAAGTAAAACTTCTAATAAAAAGTTTTAGATAAATCCTATTAATATACTACTACACTTCTTTGAGACCCCGATGTTAACAATCTGGGACATCTCTCCTTGAATAGAATGAGTCAGGCTAGCTAAAACATGTTACAGTCAATCTTTGAGAAATACAGCAAGTGTTTTGCAGATTTGGAAGGCTGGGGTGGTAATGACGGTTGTGTGTGCATCTCACAACGTTGCCTTTTTTTTTTTTTTTTTTTACAACGTTGCCTTTTTAAAGCTTTTTTTAAAAAACTAATTAATTAATTTATTTATTTTTGGCTGCGCGCGGGCTTTTCTCTAGTTGTGGCGAGCTCCCTGCTCGCCAGGGGACTACTCTTTGTTTCGGTGCACAGGCTTCTCATTGCGGTGGCTTCTCTTGTTGTGGAGCATGGGCTACGCACACGGGCTCAGTAGTTGTGGTACACAGGCTCTAGAGCACAGGCTCAGTAGTTGCGGCGCAGGGGCTTAGTTGCTCCATGGCATGTGGGGTCTTCCTGGACCAGGGCTCAAACCCATGTCCCCTGCATTGGCAGGCGGGTCCTCAACCACTGCGCCACCAGGGAAGCCCAACGTTGCCTTTTTAAATATTCCACTACAGTAGCCAAGAAATAATTGAATTCTATCAAGGAAATTCCACGGTCTTTTATGCTTTCTTTATCCACACATATACCAATGATTTATGGAACAAAAAAATGTAGACGTAGTATTAAAAAAAAAAAGCGGAGGTAATCTGAAAGGCTTACGTGAAAGCGAAACGGAGTAATATATGTATTATGATGTTTAATCTATAACCACATTAAATCCGTTAGTTCATATAAATGGATTCTGTAGATTTCAAAGTTTTTAGCCTCTTTTACAACCAAAAGCACTGGTGTGTGCTAACTAGAGTGAGCCTCAGACAACGTAGTAAGCAAGAGAGAGAAGAAAGAGAGGGGGGAGGAGAGAGGCCAGAAGAATCAAGACCATAATATACTGAAATTGTAATAGTTCGTAATAAGCAATAAAAATTTTAAAATATACATGGTTTCCTTCCTTCCTTCCTCCCTGCCTCCCTCCCTCCCTTTCTTTTAACTAAGTACCTCAACCCCTGTTTTAAGAGCAATCTAGGAAAGAAAAGAGAAGGAAGCTTATCCTCTTTAGAATACGAAGAGCCAAATAAATGCCAAAGTGACTCCGCTTTTAATCAGCTATAAATGAAAGAGTTTTTTAAGGCACTGCTCTTGTAGCCAAGTGTCTTGGCCAAGTTTGGAAAGAAGCCAAATAAGTTATTTTTAATTTAACAAAATTAAGAAGAAAAGGGTTCTATTAACACAAAACCTTCCTTCATCTTCACCCTTCCATTCTTTCCGTGTACAGCTCCCCCGTTCTCATTTCCACTCCAGAGCTCTGTGCTGCATCTAACAGATGCTTAGGTGAAATTCCTACAGTTTATGATTGACTTTAATTTACCCCTGTGGGTGTTCAGGCATATCTTGGCTGGTTATGTTCTTGCCCACATTTTAATTTACATGCAAGATTGGTCAGGAGAAGTGACTGCTCTCCATCTTTGGCATGTATAGTAGTAATTGCAATACTATATGATTTTAGTTACAAGAGAGCAGTTCAAATCCAGAATTCTACCAAAAGCCTTACCAAGTGATTAATATGCATGCTTCTTTATTCTCCAACGAGTCTGGAATCCAATTCCAAACAACCAGATTGCTTTAAGTCTACTCTGATTTTAGTTCAAAATTAACAGAAATTAACTGTTTAAATACAGTGGTTCCTAAAGTTCAAGATTCATTAAGCCTTTAATTCCGTCATAAAATAAATAAGTAAATAAATATATTTATATACATACAAATACTAAACATGGACTTTGTAGAACAAGAGGAAATATTTCATAATATTTGAGTAACCTTTTTATTAAAGCTGATTATAACTGAAATTATGTCTAATATCCTCAATCAGTTTCCTCACCTGTGAACTGAAAGGCTCAAATCAGATGAACCTGAATTCTAAAGTCATATTCAATTAACTCAACACAATTTTCCAACCCAAGGGCATTTTAGCAAAACCTACAAGAGCAGACTTTTAAAGGTTAGAGAGAAGTTAATACCATTCTCCCACATCCAAGAAGGAAGTCTGAAGGAGCACAATCACACAGAGATGTTTCTATTTTTCAGCACGTACGTAAAGGTGTGTTCTTTCAGATACTCTTCTGAGACAGTGTGCCGTGAGTACCAACCCTCTCTGATGTGGTTAAAAGAATGACAAAGAAATGTCATAATTGGCAAACATATGGGAAGGGATTTGGGGGTCAGTGGGGGGTGATTTCACTATGAACCCTGTTTATGAAAAGAACATGGGAGGAGAACACATGCTTAAGGAATGGTGTACTTTGTCACCAGAACATAAACGTAGGAAGCAATGCGCCAAAATTATAGTTCTGATGCATTCAAACATATAGACAGAGAGTTACGTGTATCTTCAGCCTAAACAGTTTATACTTAGACTTTCAGAGGTTTAAAAAAAAGGGAAATATAAGGTATATAAGAAGCTTATGTTTTAATTCCTAAATTGAATATTAGCCATTCCAAGAGGATTCCAAGTATTTAAAATTGGAAGAAGTGGATTTTAAACCATAGGACACCTTCAGCAAATTCAATGAGTATCTGGGTGGTCTGGTAGTTTTTGCAGCTTTTTATTTAGAATAATTTGGTTTCTACGTGGCCAGAAGCTTATGAAAAACAACTTGGGAACTTTGGGCTTCAAACACTACTGCAAAGGATTTTCCCCCCATAATACAATGGACTGTGTAACATTAGCTAACACTATATGAATTTTAGTTTTAGGTTCATCATACAACCTAAAAAGTCTGAGTTTTGAAAGTATATGATTTCAATATTTTCATGGCCATGTGGTGTGGATCTTGAGGACAGCCTTCTCATGACGCTCTAATGTACTAAAATTTCTTTCTAGATGAGAATACAGTTTAACAATTACTGTCTTGTAAAGCATAAATCCCTAGAGTCAGCCCAGTCATATAAGTAATATTTCCCTGTACATAAGGGCAAATTCAAAGATGAAAAACACCTGCTGAAACAAATTTCTATACGACTCTCTCAAGAACCCATTATAAGATACATAAGACATCACTGAAGAAAAAAAATTAAAACACTCAGACACTAATTTCTACTGGGACCTAAGAAGTGAAAAACTTGTTATAACATTGGAGGGCTGATTTGCAAAAGATGTTACCTTGTCCTTCTGATATCTTGCTTTGCAAAACTACACATCATTTCTAAATAAAGCATTACAAGAAGACACTAAGCCTTCAGATTCCTCAGAAAGGGTATTTTGTCTTTCAAGAGTGATCTTGCCATTACATTCTATGCTTTATTTCAAAAGATTACGTTACAAAACACAAATGTTAGGGGAAGAAAAACCAGGCAACAATGAAACCATCATACAAAATTCTTTGGTAAATAGCAAGCACTACTCATCTAAAGGACATCTGCCTACCCATTTTAAACGTTAATAAATTAGGTTGTAGATATGACAGGAATATTTAACAATTCTTAAAAGGAAATTTTTAGTATGATGCAACCAACTAACTACATTACATAACTATAAAGCATGCATTCTTTTTAGTTTCCCTCCCATAAAAGAGAAGGTAAGCGGAATGTTATGTATGTATAATACTTTACGTACGTGTAATAGAAAACTGTATAATAAAAGTCTGTAGCATCTGGGAGAAAAAAATGTATCTGCCTTTAAATGCAAGTTATAAATTGCTTCTAACATAGATGGAGTTTACTAAATTTCAAAAGTTAAATTTTTTAAGTTAAAAAATGAAGTTTAAGAAACATGTTAAGGGACTTCCCTGGTGGCGCAGTGGTTAAGAATCCACCTGCCAATGCAGGGGACGTGGGTTCGACCCCTGGTCCGGGAAGATCCCACATGCCGCGTAGCAACTAAGCCCGTGTGCCACAACTACTGAGCCTGCGCTCTAGAGCCCACAAGCCACAACTACTGAGCCTGTGTGCCACAACTGCTGAAGCCTGCGTGCCTAGAGCCCGTGCTCCTCAACAAGAAGCCACTGCAATGAAGAGTAGCCCCTGTTTGCCACAACTACAGAAAGCCCATGTGCAGCAACGAAGACCCAAGGCAACCAAAAAAACAAACAAACAAAAAAAACCATGTTAAGCTTTTATAGAGACAATCTTACTTCCTTAAAAAAAAAAAACAGATCAAATCCTGTTATAGCAAATGTCATCTCATCAAAGCTTTTGTCTATGGAATACTAAGTATTAAAGAGAATGAGAGAGATCTTTATAAATGGATAAGGAACAATCACCAAGATAAAAATTTTTAGTAGAAAGAAGGGGCAGAATAGCACCTATGAGATTTTTAAAGCAAGGGATGGTTGGTCTGTCTACTGATCAATCAGTCTATCTATCCATCCATCCACCTATTTATATTTATGTATGCACAGAATCTCTTTGGAAGAGTAAACAAGAAAATGGTAGCTGGTTACCTCAGGAGAAGGGGAACTGGGAGACAGAGTTGGCGATGGCAGTCATTTTTATAGTACACTTTTTTGTACTATTTGAATTTTTAACCATGTACACCACAAACTACCCATTCAAAAAAGTTAAATGGAAAAATGGTCAGGTTATTGGGTCTATGCACCGTAATGAGATTTGACCAGTGAAGCAGTTGAACTGTCACCTAGATAATATCTGTTGAATAAATAAATGAAATGGTGCCACTTTTTTTAGTCAGGTTAGCATTTGTATGTTCCTTATCTCCTGAACTGAAGGTAGACTGAGTGATAAAAATGTTAACCAAGAAGTAAACCCATAATCCAAAGAGAGACCTCATGGACCACAAATGTGTCTAGGTTACTTTAGCACAGTAGGCAGGCAGGCAAACTGGCACAGAAAACATTGTTTCTAAGGTGAGTTTCCATAACTCAAAGCAGACCAGAAAAGTGTTAAGTATGAATGGAAGACTGATGGCTCTCAGCATGGGGACTAATCCAGCCAGGAAGAGATTTAGAGACAAAAAGGTTTTTTAGTTCTAGTTAGTTATCTTTGACTGAAGCAGGTAAGAAAAACATCTGTTGCCAGATCTGTAGTTTTTAAGCTTTTAAGTTTTAGTATTGTAACAAACATTTCAGGGTCTTGAACCCCAGGCATTATCAGTCTAACAAGGAAACAAGGTGACCAACAATTATTTATTTACTCATGTCATAGCAAAAGCAGTATGAAAGGTAGTTTCCAAAATACTGGGAAGAAGTTTCTGATTTACACTCTAGAATAGCATGTTTTGGGTGCTTTTTTTTAAAAAGTTTTTTTGAGGGGGTAGAGAGGTAGTTTCAGGCAGGGAAGAGACATGGAGCTTGGAGCTGTGGAGGGAGGAGAGAAGCAGAAAAATAAAGGAAGAATGAAAATGAAAACTCTGTCGCATAAGGCAGAAGACATCTCTTAATCAGGCATTAAAAAAAAATCACTTCCTCACAGAGGTTCTGAAACCTTAACCAAAAGAAAGGAAAGTATTAATGAAATGAACTTTACATTTACTTCTTCATGGTGAATGTAAAAAAAATTGAGGGCTTCCCTGGTGGTGCAGTGGTTGAGAGTCCCCCTGCCGACGCAGGGGACGCGCGTTCATGCCCCAGTCAGAGAAGATCCCACATGCCGCAGAACGGCTGGGCCCGTGAGCCATGGCCGCTGAGCCTGTGCGTCCGGAGCCTGTGCTCCGCAACGGGAGAGGCCAC